GGCCTTGGTAAACTTCTCAAACCAGGCTCGTGGAGACTGCTTTAGGCCATACAATGATTTTTTTAACTTGCATACTTTGCTGCCCTTTTTGTTCCCCTCAAATCCTAGAGGCAGCTCCATATAAACTTTTTCTGCCAGGTCACCATTCAAGAAAGCATTCTTAACATCCAGTTGTTGTAGAGGCCAGTCCAGATTTGCTGCAAGAGACAAAAGCACTCTGATAGTATTCAACTTAGCTACCAAAGCAAAGGTCTCCTCATAGTCTACTTCATAGGTTTGTGTTAACCCCCTCGATACCAACCTTGCCTATGCCTCTCAATTGTACCATTAGCCTTATATTTGATCGTGAACACCCATTTATAGCCTACAGTTGTCTTCTCTTCGGGTAAACGAACCAGCTCCCAAGTCTCATTTTTCTCCAGAGCCTTCATCTCTTCTATCACAGTCTCTCTCTATTTTTCATCTTATAAAGCTTCTTGTACGGCTTATGGAACTTCTATGGTTGAAAGATTAGTGGTAAACACCCTGAAAGCTGTTGACAACTTATCATAAGACACATATTTAGAAATAGGATGGAGCGAACTCCCTTCCTAGGAGCTATAGGCAAATGAATATCCTCACAAATTGACTCAGATTCATTAAGGGATAGTGTTTTCTTACCTTGTGACTATGAGTTGTTGACTTCTTCCTGTTGGGATAACTGTTTATGCAGATCATCAGGTTTCTCTCCACCTTGGTGATCAGCTCTCTAAGAATAATGTTGGAATCATGGCTGATTCAGTCTTGCCAGTCCTCCCCCTATCTCCATATGTTCTTGTGTTATATTTTCATAATTTTCTAGTCTATTAGAGTTAGAATGTATGATAGGAGGACTTAGAGTGGTTTGATTTGGATTTGAACTCAGGTCTATAGGACTCTGACTCTGACTAACAGGTTGACTTGCTATGGGATACTGACTCTGACTCTGACTCTAACTCTAACTGTGACTAACAGGACTTAAGGGAATTGTTATTTCCCAAGACTGATCTTCATAGTCCTATAAACTCTCCCCCTGAAGAGGAGTGGGAAAGAACGGATAGGACTCAAAAAAGGTAACATCTCTAAAGACAAACAAAGAACGAATGGGACTAAAAAAAGGTGACATCTCTAAAGACAAACATTTTCTCTCTCACAAGGCAGAAGCATTGATACCCTTTCTGAGTAGGGGAGTATCCAACAAAGACACATTTAAGAGCCTTAGGATCTAGCTTTCCTCTGTTATGGGATTTAATGTGAACAAAGGCAGTGCAACCAAACACCTTTAAAGGAAGAGAGTTTAGGGTCCTATATGTAGGAAATGTTTGAAGAAAAGTTTCAAGGGGTGTATGAAAATTCTGAATCCTAGTGGGTAACCAGTTTATGAGATATGTGGCTGTTAGAACTGCCTGACCGCAAAAAGATTTAGGTACATTCATAGTAAACATTAAGGCTCTGGCAACCTCTAAGAGATGTCTATTCTTTCTTTCAGCTATTCCATTCTGCTGTAGGGTATCAACACAAGAGCTTTGATGTATAATCCCATGACTTAATAAATAGTTTCCTAAGATAGAATGAAAATATTCCCTACCATTATCTGTCCGTAAGACCTGAATTTGTTCTTTAAACTGAGTTTTAACCATGGAATGAAAGGTTTGGAAAATTTGACTTGCTTCAAATTTGTTCTTCATTAGATACACCCAACATAGTTTAGTGTGGTCATCAATGAAAGTGATAAACCACTTGGACCCTACAATGTTTGTAACCCTAGATGGTCTCCAAATGTCACTATAAGTTATTGAAAAAGGCTTAGAACTCTTATATTGATGTGCTGGGTAAATTGACTTGGTGTGTTTTGCAAGTTGACAGATTTCACACTCAAATGAAGATAAGCTTGTATTTCTGAACAATACTGGGAACAACTTTTGCAAATAAGAGAAACTGGGATGGCCTAATCTATCATGTCATAACATTATTTCGAAATCAGCAGAAGTAGATGTAGAATTACACCTAGATACTACAACTTTGTTATTGTCGGTAGTTGTTTCAAAGTAGTAGAGTCCCCCTTCTTCTCTACCGTTGCCAATCATCCTTCCCGGGAGTAAGTCCTAAAATTCACAACTGGTAGATGAAAATTTAGCTACACATTTTAGATCTTTAGTCAACTTGCTAATAGATAGTAAATTACAAGTCAAACTAGGCATATGGAGAACATAATCTAAAACTAGGTTTCTGGATAGTTTTACTGTGCCTTGACCAACTACATTTGCAATGAAACCATCAACAGTTTTTACCCTTAGATTGCCATAGCATGGGTTGTAGGATACAAATACACTTGAATTACTTGACATATGGTCTGAAGCCGCTGAATCTATAACCCATGGTTTGTTTGTTCCTAGGCTGGTATGTAGGGCTGTACAAGAATTACCAGTCTCGGCGAATGAGCATGACTATTCAGGTAAACTGGATTGGCCAAATAATTCATGCAGATGTTCCAACTGCTTTTTTTTGAATGGTACGGATGGCTGATCTTCAGATTTCTTGATTGCATTTTCTTCAACTCCAACATGAAACCCTTTACCACCTGGTTTGTTAGACTTCCAATTTGATGGCCTGCCATGTAATTTCCAGTAGATTGTCTTTGTATGCCCCAATTTATGACAGTACTCACACCAGATTTTTCCTCTATTTTGCCATGTTCTTTGATCTCCAATAGAACTCTCTCAACCCTTAGAAGCTAGGGTTGAAGCTCCCGATTTAGGCTATAGATTTGAGATGCTAGTTGATTCTCCCATCATCACTTTCCTCCTACTTTCCTCTCTCCTTACTTCTGCAAATACCTCTCAGATAGAGAGTAAGGGTTCTTTGCCCAAAACTCTCCCTCTCACTTCATCTAGCTCTTTATTTAGTCTAGCAAGGAACTCAAATACTCTTTCTTTCTCCAACATTTTTGTGTAACATTATCCTGAGTACAACTCCAGTCTGTCTCCACAAACAAATCCAATTCTTGCCACAATTGAGCCAATGTACTGTAATACTGGGTAACATACATACTATCATGTTTGGTCTCTCTCAGTCGTGACTTCAACTCAAAAATCTGCACTGAGTTTCCCATGTCTGAGTACGTTTCTTTAGCCATATCTCAAATATCCTTTGCAATAAGAAGAAATAAGAATGGTCGGCCAATCTCCTCCTCCATGGAATTAATCAAACAGGCCATTACAATATTATTCTCAGCATCCCATTTTTGGTATGCTGGGTCATTTTCTTGTGGGGTTTTAACAGATCTAGTCAAGTTGCCCAACCTGCCTCTTCCCCTGATCATCAATTTCATAGCTTGAGACCATGGTATGTAGTTTTTTCTATTCAGCTTGTGGACACTGATCTGGATAGAGTTATGGTCAATGTTACTATGACCATTTAATAGAGGTTGACCTCTCGTTGGTTCAGTTCCCTAACTTGAAGATGTTTTTGACATTTGACCAATTGGAGGACTCCGGCTTCTACCTTGCCTTTCACCGGTCATGGCAGTTTTCACCATTATTTTTTTCGGCCAGAGGGTTCTGATACCATGAAATGAGGACTGATATTCCCCAATAATTTTATTTCATATATCATTTCATACACAACAAACTCTAGTTATATAGACAACCTAGACTGTTCAGATAACTCTTACTCTTACATTGAAAAACATCCTAATCCTAGAATTCCTACAATCTGAGATTTGTGCCTTTCTGAAGGATATGTACGATTTCATGGCTCTGGACAGACAATCAACTCCGCTTATAGATCGTGGAATCGCATTACACAAAATAATCAGGCTCATTACTATGGGACTAGGCGGAGAAGGATATTTGAACTCTATGGGCAATGAATTTGGGCATCCTGGTGTGCAATTGATTATTAATATTCTGTGTTTATGTCCTTGTATTTCTACCATCATTGACTTAGCCTTTGTTGAGTGTTAAGCTGTTAAATGACTTGATGTTATTCCTTTCTGTTGTTAATTTATATAGAGTGGATTGATTTTCCAAGAGGTGAGCTGTGTCTTTTGGCAAAGTAATTCCTGGGAACAATTTCAGTTATGATAAATGCCGACGTAGGTTTGATCTGGTAATTTTCTCCCTCGGTTAGAATTTGAACAATAAATCTTGCCGAATTTTGAAGGGCATACCTAAAATATTTGCTTACTTTCATGTTGGCATCATTAAATTAATGAACTGCACGTAAGTTTTAATGTAGACATAGAATGAATTTGAGAGGCACTAAATCTATTAATTCGCTGAATATATTATGATGAAGAAAACCACCTGCAAAGTTTGCTAAATAAGATTACTTGGCCGAGATATAGTGTTCATGATCATAATGAGGAGAAAACGAGTTTTAAATCTTCTTATGGAAACCTGCTTTGACCATATAGTGCCAAAAGAATCATGGACCTATATACTGTATTTAAATGTATATGAATTCTCTTAGGTCATGGTTGGTTGGTGGAAAGGAAAAGCAAAGAAAAAGATTGTACAATACATAGTAATAAAATAAGATTTCCATAATTTGGTTACAACATAAACTTTGTTATGGAAAAAAGTAAATCATAAATAATTTGGACAATTTCACTCTCAGAAATATTTGATATTCTTATCTTTCCATATGAGGAATTAATATTTAAGCTAATATAAAATATCTTAGTATTTACTTCATAAATAAATGAGGTGTTTTTGGTAGTTAATGCGCTTATAAGCATTGTTTTAAAAACCGGACCGGAGAGCAACCCGCTCTGCTAGCCGGGTCACGGTTCAACCGGTCCAACCGGTTAGACCGTCGGTTGGACCGGTGATGTCATCACAATGTGTGATGACATCAACACATTTTTTAAAAAACTTTATCCAAAAGGCCACTGGCTGGAATGAGATTGGAACACACTTCATACAACAAATAATTCTTACCATCTTTTAATTTCCTCCATCAAATCCTTAACCATTTAATAACAAATACGAAATTTCTCAAACAATAGAATTAAAGGATCTTGGGCTTTTGTCTAACCCAAATGTAGATACAATATAGTTTCAGCCCCATTCTACAACAATTGAGACTTAAATTGACCCATGACCGAGTAGTGGAATACAACTGGCCTTGGAAAACAACTGCAACATTTTCAGGGAGCCAATGCTTTGGTTTTGGGAAACACTGGAAAATTCGAAAACCAAAACAAAACAGGTTCAGCACCGACACCATGCCATTACCAGACAAAACCAATGGCTAATCAATGGGCATGACATCCCCTGGTTTTTTTTCTTCTGGTGACTCAGCTTCTTCATCTCAAACACCAAAAATCTGATTATGTGGAAACAATACTCAGTCAGTTCCCCTCCTCAACATATTTCGCTGACCAGAACCAATTGAAGCTGGAGACTAGCAATTGTGGAAGATGAAGATCTGGTGAAGTCAAGGTTCTGCTTGGACACGCACCGGCCTTAAAGACTCAATTTCTTGATCGCAAGTTTCAATCTTGTAATCGATTATCTCTAAGTCTTCCTTTTCGTTTTTGTTTTCCATTTTCTTCCTGTACATACACAAGATGTGCATACGTTTTATAGAAAAAAAAATCATCAACGAAATTTAATGGAGAAATGTTTGAAGAGAAGTTGAGAAATCTGAGAAATTTTAGTAGAGAAACTGAGAAAGAGAAGAATCTGAGAAACAGAGAAAGGAAATCGATGGAATGGGCTGTGGTAGTGCGATTGGGTAGGGTTGGGGGTTTTGAAATCAGGCCGGTTTATCCAACGGTCCGGTTGGACCGACGGTTCATTGACTTTATCCCGGTTTTGACCAGGCTAACGCGGTTTAATGTATAATGACGGTTTTAATGTTGACTCGGACCAGATACGTGACCGATTCCTGATTCAACCGGTTGGACCAGCCGGTCCGGTCCGGTCCGATTTTTAAAACAGTGCTTATAAGGTAAGGAATCAAGGTTCCCAAGAGTAAGTAAAACTGTAGAAGGGATCCTTAATATTTCGGAGAAAGGAATCCAATTCCTTATCCCATGGATTCCTATGAACCAAAAACCATTAATCTACTTTCCAACTTCTCGGTGCTTATCATTTTATTTTCAACTTATCAGTCCTCTGTTACTTTTACATTCAACCTAATCACTACAAAAGAGGGAAGGAAAAATACATAGAAGTCCAGAAAGTAACATATGACATTGGAAACAGCAAGGACCCCACAAAAAGGGTGTTGTCCCAAATGATAAGAGGAGAAAAATCATATGACCAATAGGAAAAAGGTCACAACTAAACCCTAAAACCTGTTAACTTACCATGTATTCCTTTGAAGCAACAAATTACACAGTTCACGTCTCTCATCAGCATCCCTACGCCAACCATCTGGACCTAGATTGCAATGGTAGTCACGGGAGTCTCATTAATGAACCCTGCAAAGAAAATTTCATTAGCACACTACTTCAACTAATATTAGTTACATGTCTGAAATTCAAGAAACGCCGATGAAATTGACTTAAGGAGTAATAAGTAAATCCTTGAGTGAAATTGTCTCCTGGACATCAGTAATTGCAACAAGAATGTATGATACGCATACAACATTATCCTCTATAAAAACTCAAAGTAAACAACTAAGCTATTGCTGTTAAGAGGAGAAAAATCATATGACCAATCAAAAAAAGGTCACAATTAAAACCCGAAACCTGTTAACTTACCATGTATTCCTTTGAAGTGAAAAAAGGTCACATAGTTCCAATCTCTCATCAGCATCCCTACTCCGACCATCTGGACCTAGATTGCAATGGTAGTCATGGGGACTCATTAATGAACCCTGCAAAGAAAATTTCATTAGCACACCACTTCAACTGATAATAGCCACATGTTTGAAATTCAAGAAACACCAATAAAATTGACTTAAGGAGTAATAAATAAATCCTAAAATGAAATTGTCTCCTGGACATCAGTAATTGCAACAAGAAGGTATGTTAAGCATACAACATTATCCTCTATAAGAACTCAAAGTAAACAACTAAGCTATTGCACCCACATCATTAACACTTATGTCATGGATGGCAAGTCAAATGCCCAAACCGAAGTTTTGCCAAGGGAAAACATTTTAGCTGCATGATATATGTTTAGCAAACACTGAATACAATTGACTTAAGGAATAACAAATAAATCCTTGAGAGTAGTTACTATCTGGACATCAGGAATTGCAACACTAATGTAGGACAAGTATTCATTCTTTTCAATCCAAAAAAACTCCTCCATTTCGTCCAGTTACCTATGGTTGAACATGGTAACAATATAAACATTATTTGGTTTCCATTAGCCATCAATAATCACCATTTCCTCATTTTCTTCCCTGCTGTAGATAATAATATCCACTTATTATGAATCTTGCATATTCTAGAACCAGAGATTCCAAGATTTTGCAGGAACTGCCAATTTAATTTACTCTTCATCCTAAACAGGTCACAAACAATGACAATGTATACAACTAGAGGAAATCAGAAATGCTTAGGAGTAATTGTTGAAAAAATGCACCTGAACAATAAATTTGCTGAATCAAGAAAGTGTCCAACAAGAAATACTCCTATTAGAGGAAACTTATCTTCTAAAAGTGGGATAAGAAACGCCACAATCTGTAAACATCAAAATTGTATTGCTTTTGATGAACTCAACATTCTAAGTCAGCAAATGATTAGCCAGACCCAGAAAGTAAAAATTCTTCATTATGTGGGACAATTTGTGCACAAAGGTAATACTCACCACTCATTAGACGGTGGAGAGAAACTAAGAAAATATGAATAATTTATAATTAGCATTGCAACATGTATTATAATTCAAATATGCAGATTAAATCATGAGTAAATAGAGAAATAAAAACCCTTGGAAAGACACATAAGATTTTACATAAAGGCTTCTTCAAGAAGAATTATGGATTAAAAAGACGAAAAAAATTAAGGAATACTGCAGAAGCAATGTCAACAGGGGAATATTAATGTAACAAACTGGTGTTAAGCATAGCTCTAATTTTCTTTAAAAAAAAAAAAAAAGATTTAAGCATTGTATTTGCACCAATTACCACCAATTACGTACAAGCCATTTGCAATCAGATTCAAAAGACAAGATCCCCAACAAAAGATTACCTCAGATAAATGAGGGTAAAGGCCATTAATGCAACCTTCTGCAACAGCACCAAGAGCCAAAACAGGGCTGCATCGCCAGTAGTTGCCAACTTAGCCTGCAAAAATTCTTGAGAACCAAAACATGTACTTGAAAGCAGAGCTACTAGCAGAAAATTTTAGATTCATTGAAATTAAATCTTAGCAGCTATGTGAACTAAATTGATGTTGCCTGAATAATAGGCATCAAAGTTGGAAGAATCTCATCCCCAAACACGTTGGAGAGAACATCAAGCGCCGCTGCACTGCACTTCCGCAAATTCCATACATTAACTATGTCATCATCCTGTAAACCAAACAGGTCATTTAGAAAACTGAATGACATCCTCTATTATATTAACTAAATCACAACTTCTGTAAATTCCATATAGTCACTGAGTGATTGCTTAACCAAGTAATTTAAAACTGCTAACATAAATGAGATGATGCAACGACTTACATCATCTTCCAAGTTTTCTTATCCGTGAAACCGTGATGAATGAAAACGAGGTTTTAGATCCTGTGGTGTACATAGATTAACTCCATAAAATATATCAAGCAAGACAACATGATTTCAGAACAAACAATAGATGAACACACATATATTCAAAAATGAAAATTATAAAGTATAAACTTGGTCCCTGTCTGGGAGAGACTCATCCTCCTGCAACAATAAATTGATCCACATAAATTATGCAATACAATATTCAAAATCATTCAAAGACAAATTGAACAGAAAAGTCAACCTCGGCTTCGAGAAGTGACTCATCATCATCATCAGCATAAACCATATTTGAAAGCAAAACCTACAAAAGTTGTTTCAGACATGAGTAAAATCATGGAAAATTACTCTGGGAAAAAAGTAACTAGCAGAAAAGGAAATTAAATAAACATTAACTATACCGGAAGTAGACGTGGCAAGAATTCTTTCAGGTTTTCAGGTGGTAAATGAGCATCACAGTATGCAGACCTGTCAAAGAGATGGCCATCAATGGAAAAATAAAATAAAATTTATATATATACATATAGAAGAACAAGGTTTGCCGAATATTTCCTTAGCGAGGTATGCGGTGACTGGAAAAACTGTTCAAACAAAAACTGGAAAAATGAAAACCCTAAGGAAAAACAAAAGCAGGATTTGGGCACGGCATAAGACCAATACTAAAATTATAATGTCACCTGCAAAAATCTAAGGAGGAGGATGTTGACGGGGCGCTCAGCCAACCCAGGTATATTTGAATCCAGCACTCGGAACAAGTATCATGCCGTTGAAGAGTGGTGTATTTCTCTCTCTAACGGATGTTTTAAATAAAATTAATTATTAATGGATTTGTATTTGTTGATTTGTTAGATTGAAAGGGTTTATGTCATTGTTTTACCTTCTACTGGGTATTGGATTGCACTAGGACTTCCTGTATTCAGGTGTAAGGTGATGCTGCAACCAGGACTTTCTTATTGACTGGACTCTCTATGCCCAGGTGGTGTTTCAATTCTCTCGTGTCTTGAACTGACTGATGTTCACAGTTTGACTTGCATAATGGTTTTGCAATAGTTTAATATTGAGTTTTTAGTTTACTTAAAATAATTTGGTTCGATTGAGTATTTGAGTTTGTATTTGAAATATTTGCTTTTTTGTCTAAAGAAATTGGGTTTGTGTTTTGTTCTTTGTTGATTAGTATTATGATTAATAAGAAAATGGGTTTGGAAAATTTAGGGTACTTTTGTTTTGTTATTTTGGATTAGATTTTGAAAATAATATTAGGTAGTTGAATAAAGTGAATATTACGAGATAAAATTTAACAAAAAAAAACCTATAGGTTTGCTAATTTAACTAAATACCCCCTTATATAAATTTTTTGTAAAATGACAAAAACACCCCCACCCACTACAGTGTCAGATTCTAGCCACTACCGCCGGAATCTGCCATTACGACACAGACCAGTTGGATCTGGCCGGTGGTGTGTCAATCTGGCTGAAAATTTCCAAATCTACGGCCAAATCTAGCCATCGACAGTTGTAAAAAACCAGATCTGGCCGTCAGAGACAGCCAGATCTACCATGGATCTAGCCGAAAAGGCCAGATCGATGAATAAATAGCCAATTCTGATCGTTTTTAGGCCATTGTGACAGATTCCGGCTACCACCGACGGTGGTTGCCAGAATCTGGCAACTATGGGTGGGTGGATGGGGTTGTTTTTGTTAACTTTTAAACTTTTTTTTTTTTTGGTGTTTAATTAAGTTAATAAACTTAAGAGATCTAAAAGTAATTAAAAAATAGAATAGTATTTCCCATATTATTACAATTAATTACTAAACATCCTAGTAAATTAATTGGAGAGAAAATTCATAGATTCGGTTTAACAGATTAATTCATACCTGGTTATCGATCATCTTGAATGGATCATTTTTCTTGTTTCGAGTATGCAATCAAAAGTAAACAAGAGATCGAGAGAATTTTTCAAAACTGAAAATATTATTAATGTTTCTCTGATTACCAATGTACAAAGCTTCTCTTTATATAGAGAAGTTCGGATTTCAAAATTTTTGAATCCGTGAATAAGATAAACTTTACAAAACACAATGTCAATCACAAAACACATGTGATTTGACTTTATCCTAATAAAACCTAACACGTAACTTAAAGAAAATAAAGAAAATATGTCATGGGTCCCATATGTCTCCCATGTTTAAAACAATTTATTACATTTTACATATGTTTATTACATATGACACAATATTCAAGATTGCTTTTTAATATGCTGCATTAAATTTTGTCGGCAAAATCTTGACGGTCCATGTATTATTTCCGCCTGTTGGATACACATCAGCGTATCACGTGTTGGACGTTTCCGGTTGTCCAAATCTCCATTCTCCAGATTTTTATCAATCTTTGAAGTTATCCACTTCGATAAGATCAATAAAATCTTCTAGAGTTGCATCTTCTTGGGCTTCCTGGTCGTGGGCTAGGACCAACCTTAGAAGATCAATAGTACCTTCCATTAAGGCCTGCTTCGGTAGATAGGCTAAATCGAACCCTTCTAGTAGCGTTCTCAGTTGGGCCTGATTATGTTGAAAAAGAGTATCATGGATCAATGCATACCTATCTGGTATAACTACCACAATTCCATTCTGAATATGGACAGTAGCATTTGCCCTAACGAGCTTTTCCAGTTTGGATTTAACCAGTAACATTTTGGAAATGTGTAACCTGGTCCAATCTTCCTCTTCTTTCTTCTGAATTTCTCTAACGCAAAAGAACCCATCTTTATCTCACTATCGAGCATAATTCGGTACCATGGTTCTCCTACAAGAAATTCCCATATCTGTACAGGCTGAATATCATAGCTCTCTTGCAATGAGGAAGTAATCATGCAAGTGAAGGGGTCAATTTTCTGATTCAATACACAGAGCGTTTGCTTAACTGCATCTGGCATATTTGGATCCACCATCGCTTCTTGTACGTCAATTTGCATTGTATCAATCCATCCTTTAGTCAAAAGATCTCTACAGAAACCTTTTCTAAAGATTTTCCATGGAACGAACAATTCCATATCTCCATTAGGATAAACCGCTAATCCTTGAACCACATCCGTCAAGTCAGTTTTTCCCAATTTTACTATTAATTCATTCNCCAATTATTTTAATTGTATAACTCATAAGTCCTTAATTCTTCATATAAGGGCATTTTGGTCATTTCACACTAGACATAATTATTACTTAATTAATGCCATTAAATGCAATGAAGCCTACTCATCCTTGACTTTTTCAATGCTTATCCATAGGCAAAATGACCAGTTTGCCCCTAATTCCTTTCTATGGATAATTGATTCATACCGTTCCAAATGAATCGACTATTTTGCCCTTAGTTAGATTTTATGCTTTTTAACATAAAATTAACATCTAAAGGACTATTTTGAGTTAGGAACATCCCTTTGACATCTTGGGTATTACACCCTACCTCTTAAAACAAAAGGAAGGTATTCATCCAGGAGATGCACTTTTTTTAGCGGAAGGAGAAAGAAGTTAGCTTCAGAAAAAAGAAAGAATCAGAAGCCATTGGAAGTGATTGAACCTTAGTCCCGCAAGGGACTTTCTTTATGTTGTCAAGGGCCCAAACTAAAAGGTGAGGGAGAAGAAAACTGAACCAATAAATTGAAGAACCTAATGGATCGATTGAACTCATGCCTAGCTGTAGCCACATATCAGCTGCGCTCAATATGTGACTATTGGATCAGATCTTTCTAGTTTCAGGATTTTAGAGACTAGAGGTAGAGCTATGAGCTAGTATTATGGAGGCCAGACATTTGTGTGTTAGTTAGCTAGTCCTAGTAGTAGGCTGAAGGGATATCACTAGTTCCTAACTAGGTGAGAGTCAAGTCAAGATAAGATTGAAAATTGACTAGTAGTCCCTCCAAATCTGCAAGTTGCTAGTACGCGTGTAAATCCCTTAATTGTGTTGGCAGCGGTTATGCATTAGATGATCACATTGATTACGTGATCACCTTGGGGTCTAAAATGTTGGAGTAGGTGCCCTAGAGCCAATCAATTATTGTGGAATTAACTATTTGTAATAATGTTCATTAATCAATAAAAGGCATTTTATACTATATCGCGTAAATCATTATTATTGCAATATGTATTGATATATGTCCTTAGAATGGTAGAACCGTGATGAGGGTATCAAGTGTTTCAAATCTTGATAGTGAAAACCCTATGAGCACATATGGTGGCCATTCTAGAAATGTCTGTAGCCCTAGTATTATTCTGAAGTAAGGGCACAGATAATACAGTAATGCTATCATAGTGTTGAACGACCCTGTCGAAAGGCAGTGACTGATCTCACTTGTCAAGGTTGTTTGGTGACAACCTGGTACAACACATGGGTGCTTGCTATAGGCGAAGGCACCGCAGCAAGTTCACTGGACTGACCCACCAGAGGATTCCATATGGATGGTAACCCCAGTGTCTATGGAATAAATCTTCTAACGAATGGTGGTACATATGATCCTTAGACTTGAGATCATCGGAGCGCCTTATGCACTAATTGGTGTAGTTTGACACTAGCCTAACGCAGTTCTTGTTAGAGTTATCAATACGATGGTGATTGGTTGCATCAAGGAGTGTATCAAGACTATGGTGGATTGACAAAGGATTCATCACTCACGGGTAAGGGAAACGTTATCTCACGGCGCAATTCAATATATGGCAATGACACTAAAACTGTGGCCACAGTGGGATTGAGTTGTTGCTCTATCCAATTTATAATACATGTCATTGGTCCAGAAACTGAATACATAATATCGAGAGTAACTGAAGGTTGACACTATTTCTATGCCTTCGTCTCGTCGAGATAACGTATGATGAAATGATCGAATTGTACGGTAACCATATCGTTGACAGGTAGCTACTTTGCTGAATCCGAATCTATCGGGTGGCCATGATGCCTTGCTAGGGGCTAATCTTGGTCTTTGTATTAGTGAGACGATTAATTGGTGTTAATCGCGATACTATACACTGCTGGTATGATGAGGAGCCTAGGGGTCACACACATAGAAGATAATTTAAGACCCAGGAAGAAAGAAGGGCGTTTTTGTCTTTTTAGGCAAAATGGTATTTTGGTAATTTCACAGTGCAATTAAATTTGCTGAGGTCGTAGTCTTTATTTAATTTATTGGAAAATTAAATAAGTGAAATTACGTTTAAATATGTGTTCGCATATATTTAATTAAATCATCATTATTGTTAAATGTTAATATATAAATTAAATATATATTAATTGATTTTAATTGAGATAATGATGAAATAAAAATAAAATATCTAATTGGGAGTGTTTGGTAACATGGGGTGTTTAGGTTGGAGCCCAAGCCTATTCCATATAGGAATAGGGCATTAAAGTTTTACTATAAAAGAAAAATGTCATTTGTAAAATGAGAGATTTTCATTAGTTCATTTTCTGTTTGAAAAGCAAAAACACACAGGCCCATTTACACTCCCACGGCAGTATCTCAATTTTGCCCAAAATCAATTCATTTGATTTTCTTCTTGATTCTTAAGGCTAAGGAGGATATAGCAAATCCCTCCTTAGTTCTTTGTGATTGTCTTCGTGTAGACTACGTGGGTTCGATCCTACACTTGGATCGGTAGCAAAAACGTTCATTGACAAATTTGGAGTAGCCTCCAAATGTGCGTATGTTTTTCTAAACTCATGATTAATTTTTGTAGATTTCTATTTTAACATAAACTGTAAAATTGTACCTTTGATCTTGGCTTAATGCGAACGATCCTTGTTATTATGATTTTGTTTTCCGCTGCGTATATGGACCATTTCCTAACATAAAACTAGTAAGTCTATCTAAAGGGAGGTAATCACACAAAAAAGTCTCCCTTTTGCTACAAGTACAGTAACATCTAGCATGCAGTTGGGCTCTCAGGATGTGGACCGGGCCATTAGAACTTCTGAAAGGGAAGACGGGCGAATTGATTGACCACGACATGAGCGTTGTGGAAGCATCTCCA